GCTTATGGCACGCAAGTCCCATAGGTTTTCAACCTAAAATTAAACAAGCATTATGAATTACTTAATAAAAGTATTGGACATAAGGCGTGACAAGACTGGCACGTAGCTTCACGGTCTTGTATATGTATATATTACATGAAATAGTTTATCCATACATAATATATAATTCAAAAGAAATTCTTTTGAATCACTAAATGAATTAATATAATAAAAGGATAAACCTTCAATTCCTTTAATGGAGTCATGTACTAGAGATCTGTGTTATATATATACAAAGTCTGCACTTTTAAATAACCAAACCATTTACCCCCGTATTCACTTTTCTATGTCATATATATATATATATATATATATATATATATATATAGAACAAAGTATAATATGGTAATACGCATTCTTGTATGATCGTGTCAACTGGGTCAAAGTTAAGCAGTATCAATGCTCCAACATGTATATTGAATATTATATAAATTATATATTATTCAAATATTCAATCAAACTTCAAATTTGACATCTTATCGAACAGTTTATCTATATACTACATGCAATCAACAGTGATTCATTAATAAGTAAATTTTTTTTTTTTTTTCATCTTAAAAAAAAAAATGATATCATCCAATACTTATCCCAATAAATAATTCAAAAGGAATCAATGAAACAATTCATTCTAATAAACAATTCATTCCTTTTTTGATTTCAGAATGAGGAATCAACTTTAGTAGCAGTGACTGATGGATCATTGTTACGTGTGCAAATTAATAGAAAAACCATTAACTTTTGTTTTGTTAAAGCCTACTCTTGATTTCCATGTGTTCAGATGGCAAGTGCCTTGACAGTATTACTAACCGAAATTCTAGCTAAGCCAACTTCACATAAAGACACATGTAGAAAGGCCCCATTCAGCTTTTGATAGCCATCACATACAGTCACACACGCACATAAAAAAACAAAACCCCATAGTTTGGAAGCTACTTTTCACTATTGGAACAAAGGTAACGACAGTAAACTCTACCGCCGATTGAAGAACGCTTCTCTCCTTGCTATTTTGAGTCCTTACGAGCAAGACTTACATACATAATTTGCGATTAAATATATATATATTTATTTATCATGCCTCTAATTTAAAATAATATATAATATGTATTCAATTCATTGATCTTGATTTCTACAAGAAAATATAAACCCTAAACTTACTCTAATACCAATTGTTGGGTTTTAATCAAATTAATCCATGTAGAAATCAAAATACTTTAATTAATTAAAGAGTAATTTAGACTCGTACCTGATTGATGATTAACGCACATATACCTTTAGAATATCCATGTAATCCTCTGTGAGTTCTGCAAAACATTAGAACACTTTACCCCCTTCTAAGAGTTGTAAATACGATAGGACTGAATAAAGGTTTTAAAACCACTATATATAACAACAACATGGGGGGACGGCTTTTCTACAAACAAGCATATTTAAGTCTCCTTTCCAATCATGGAAACTTATATATCAATGGTTAGAAATAAATCACACCAAATAAGTTGGAAAACCACAATCCAACGGTATAAAACCATACTCCCAATTAGACCACCAAATTAGAAAGTACAAACCCAATCCATCAAGTATCAATAATCACATTGCAATCCTACTTTATGAAACGTAGTGCATAGGATCATAAAATAATTTTTATTATTTAAATATATATATATATATATATATATATATATATATATATATATAAATTCCAACATTATCAACTTTATTTTTAAAATTTTTTTCTAATTAATCTTTTTCACTGTGACACTGTCAAAGCAAATCTTAGTAGTTGAGGGTGCACCAATCGGTTGGGTCACTAAAATGAATAGAAATTGGTAGTTGAGCTTTCGCCGGCATCTATGGAGTTTGACGATGTTGAAGCTTTTGATTTTGACAATGGTGAAGCTTTCTGGTCTCACCCTTTTTCGTCTCTCTCAAGCTTGCTCCATTGAATTTTTATACCTATTGAAAGCTCTCTCTCTCATATTTCTTCTCTTCAAATCAAGTATTTATGCTTTGTATCTTTCCTTAGTTTTGGTATTTCATCTCTTTGAAGAAGACAACCAACACGAAGAAGACAAATAACACGAATAGGGATGGGTCTAATTTTAGAGAGAGAGGGGTAAAAGTTCTAGAGAGAGAAGAGGAAGAAGAAGATCAGGGGTATTTTTGTAATTTCACAATAATAAGTATTAGTTTTTAATTTAATATTAAATCATAAGGTTAATTTTGTCATTTCACAACCTAAAAAAGGGGTCGATCACGGGTATGTAGTAAGTTGATAGTATTTCTTTAGTTCAGGGAGTGTTTACTTTTAGTAGGGGTTTTTTAGATGAAAATGATAATAGAGGGGTTATGTGATTCTTCTCATTTATTAATCTGTTTCAAGGATGTATGTATGTGTGTGTGTGTATATATTATATATATGTAGTCTATATTCCTAGCATTGTGGCTATTTGTTCATAAGAGATAGTTTCGTCCAATTTATTAACTTGTAAAGTTAAAAAGGTCAACTAAATGGTCAAAGGACAATTTGGTCAATTTTTCATGACAGTTGGCTTCAAGGGGTGCCTTTGTCCACTTTTTAATATTCAAGGAGGGTTATTGTCCCAAAAACATGTAACTTTCATTTGAGTATCCTTTTGACAAACCTTAGGGGGTGTTGCTGTACTTTACCTATCAAATTATAATTCAAGATGTATTATCATTAACAAGGAATTTTACTTTGGTGGGGCCCAACTTGTATTATGTAATTAAATTAAATTTTTTGGAGACGATATTCATACTTCACTTTTCTCCAATTACACTACATTTATCTTTTTCCTTTAAAAGAAGTGATAAGAAGGTCCTTAAATTCATTAATGCACTCTTCCTAATTTATAGTGTCATAACTATCCTTTATTCAACTTTAATATATTTGTACATTTTTTTACTTTATTTACTATTTTTTTTTCCTTTCTATTTGTTTTTTTCCAGAGGTCCTTTCAAAGAAAATAATTTATTCCCTACTAATAATTTAATTTTTGACAGTCGAAAATGACTTCCTTTATTTATTTATTTATTTTTTATACAATTGAAAGGGATATTATTCAACAAAGTTAACTTTTTTCTTTTTAGTCAAAAGTGTTAACTTTTTTTCATATTTATTTTTTATATAATTTTTTAGGGGTTTGGTTAGAAGAAATAATTTATTAGATAAAAATAAATTTTTTTTTTTTTTTTTTTTTTTTTTTTTTTTTTTTCGGGTTTTATCAAAAGAGATAATTTATTCAATATAAATAAAAAAAATTTAATCCACTCCGTTTAATACTTTTTTTTTTTTTTTTTTTTTGATCTTTACAAAATAGATAATTTCTTCAATATATATATATATATATAATTTTTTTTTTTCATGTCAAAAGAGATAATTTTTTTAATGGTTACTTTTTACTTTTTTAGTCGAGTCAAAAGAGTCAATTTATTCAACATAAATTTTTACTTCTTCGTCCTGTAAAAAAAAAAAAATTACTCAATTAATTTTTTGTCTTGTCAAAAAAGACCTAAAATAATAAAGATTATACATAAGGAGACTAAATCTGAAAGGATAATTTTGTCATTTAAAAAGTAATAATTATTTATTTGTAAAGTTAATGTTAGAATTATTATTTTATTTAAGATTGTAATGTAAACATTGAAAAGTGAAGTGTGAATATCGCTTCCTTTTTTAAAAACCAATTGTAATATAATTTCATTTATACACTGTACTGGTGATAAAACTATACCAAACAGACCAAAATGCATGGACGCATAAGTAGCATGAAGTATATATTAGAGGTGACAAAATGGGTCACAACCCATCAACCTGTCCACATTTGCCTGCTTTTTAATGGTTATAGGTGAACTATATTTAAGATGGGTCAAAAATGGGTTGGATAATTTTTAACCACTTAATTTAAGGGTCAAAATGGATTGAATATGGTTTACCCATTTTCAACTCATATTTCACCCATCACATAATAAACACAGAATACATATCTATTCTATATTATACTCAACTCATTTCTCTCTCTTTAAAATTCAATCCAAAATAAGTTATGTCCATAACCCAGTCTGAATATTTTGGACGGGTCAGGCGGGTTTTAAGGATCAATATATATATATATATATATATATATATATATATATATATATTTTCCAAAATATGCAAATTACATTTTCCTTTGTCATGTTTGTAAATATCAAAATTTTTTAGAAAATATTTTTAAAACATCAATATTTTGGGCGGGTCGGTCTGGTTTTACGGTCAAATTTTTATTATTTTTTATTTTTCAAATATGCAAATTACATTTTCCTTTTCCATATTTGTAAACATAAAATTTTTTAAGAAAATTCTATTTTTAAAACGTCAATATTTTGGGCAGGTCGTGCGGGTTTCATGGGTCATTTTATTTTATTTTATTTTATTATTATTTTTTTTTAACAAATATACAAATTATATTTTCCTTTTTTATGTTTGTAAACATCAAAATTTTTAAGAAAATTTTATTTTTTTAAACTTTAATATTCTGGACGGGTCAGTCGGGTTTCACGGATCAAATTTTTTTTTTTTTTTTTTAAACATCAATATGGGTGTTAACGGGTTGACCCTATATATTTTTTAAATATAATTTTAAAAAAATAATTAAAATTTTTTTTTAATAGATCCACGGGTTATAACGGGTTGACCCTATACATTTTTGACCTTCCCATTTTTAAACGAGTTGAATATGAATCTTGATCCATATTTGACCCGCCCATTTTCAACCGAACTTAACCCGACCATTTGCCACCCTAGTGTATATTTGAAAGGTAGCATGAGCTGTCTGTGATCAAATTAAATGCATGAAACAGAAAGACTAACTTTTAATTTGACCGGTAGGTTGAAGAATGGTAGTTGAAAAAAGTGTGATCGGATGAGCAGATTAGCATGCAACTTTAATTAGATGCTTCGCTACCTACTAGTGTGAAGATGAAGATGGAAAAAGTAGTATGAAAATGGGAAAAGAAATATATATATATATAAAGAAAGAAGAGGAAGATATCTGGATGCTTCTAGTCAAAGCAACCAAATTTACCACTAAATGCATATATATAAATCCCATAAACCTCTCCTCAGATTGTGAGTCTTATTTTCCATTGTTGTGGTTGTGGGGGTGGTTGAAACGCCTTCGCTTCTTCTGTATTTGTGTAATGAGACCAGGAGGACCTGGCGGACCACCAGGTTGGGGGCCTCCACCTTCTGGTGGACCGGGACCTTTGCCTGGACCTGGTTTTTTTGGTGGTTTTTGCGATGTCATGGCTTCTTGGTAAGTAAGAATATCTGATATATATATATATTTTCAACTGTCAACAGATTGACAATATTTAATAGCTGATGTTTATATATTTGTTTTGCCATGGAAGTGTTCTAATAATAATGTGTGTATGTGTATACACTTTAGTTTCAGTTTTGAAAATCTTAAATTAGTTAGTGTAGTTAATTATTTGTAACAAAGTAAAATGCTTGAATAACCTTTATTTTTATAGTGTCAATTCATCAATGCAATTTGCTTGAATTTCCAAAAACGGAAAAAAAAAAAAAAATTATCAAAAAGATCAAGACATAGCAAGTCTTGTACATATTATTCTAATACTGCCATATCCTCCTTTCTAACTGAAGAAATACATAGAACTAACAACAATCATTGTATAAAAAATTGCAACCCATTAGTACCATTTTTTTTTCTGTAAATACAAAAAAAAAATGGTTTTCAATTTATTTATTTATTTTTTAAATTATGGCATCTTGAGTTTCATTATAAAAGCTAATTCTAATTTTCGTTATTTTTCCAATATATATTTGGGATTTTTTTTTTGCAGCCTTAGCTTCTTGTGCTGTTGCTGGTTGTTACAAGACTGCTTTGGTGGTCCACTAGGCCCACCTGGACCTGCTGGACCTCCTGGTCCTCCTGGACCTCCTGGGCCTCCTGGACCATTTGGCCCAACTCCTCCATGATCATCATTCTCGATTTACAACTATCCATTTATATATATATATATAATAATAATACTAATAATAGCTTACTTAATTGTTGTTTTAGAGCTTGAATGCTTGGTACATTGACTTACTCTTCTTTCCCTTCTATTTTCCATTGGATATTGTTATGTTTGTGTGATACATCAACATGAATAAATTCAATATTATATGAGTCTCTGCACCATGTATTAATTTTGCTGGTGATTTATTGAATCTGTTTCACATGCAACAGTGATGAGATGATATGATGAAAAATTTTAAGTGTCATGCTCGTGACTTACCTGATCTGGGGTGGGGAGGCGTCCTTTTTGGAGGTTGAATCCTTAGGGGAGCCCTTTCTGGAGACTAAGTCCTAGGGGAATTATCGCCATACTCGGGTACTTAAATCTTAACACAATACACTTTAACTTAAAGAAGAAGAAGAAGAAGAAGGTGTATGACTACTAGTGGGATTCAATAATAAATTGTGGATTATATTCTAGCTAGAGAAGCCAATTGATGTAAACTTGATTATTTTATTTATATAGTGGTTTTTTTTTTTTTTTTTTTTTTTTTTTTGGAAAGGCCTTGTTTGGGAGCTTCCTAATACCATTATATATTAGTTTCTTGTTATACCCTTATAAGTTGTTTCTCTTTATTAATCTTCTTCGGACCCATGAAAGGAGAGTTTTCTTCCACAAATTAATACTCCTAATTTGGTTACAACTCTCTTACTTTTCAAATTAAGACTCTTCACTACACTTACAAAACAAAGGAAGCTAATCTAATAGCAGTCCTAATATATAATGCTAACTTCCCAAAACAATAATAATAATAAAAAAACAACACTAAATAGACTAATACCAAATACGCATCTCGACATATATATGCAGAGACATATATATTTATTCATAAACCCAATTGTATATATTATTTCATTATTAATATTATTATTTTAATTATTGCGTGATGTTTGTGTATATATTATAAATCTTCCTGACAACAATACTGCATGGTGTATATTATTTATTATTAAATTTATAAGGGTAGTTTTGGCATGTAAAATCAGTTTCCTTTCGCTCTCTTCCTATCCAAATTAATGAAACAATATTTTCTCACAAATTTCTTTAAAAAAAAAAAAAATTATGCTAACCAAATGCATAATAGAAAACTAATTTTCTTTTCTTTCACTTCACTTTTTTTTTTTTCCTTTCACTTTCCATCATCGATTTTTAACTAATCAAACTAAGAGGAGAGATTTAATGAGTTCAACTCGATCTACATATATGTTTGTAGTTATAAATTTTGCCATTCATCCTATAAATTAAAGATTTACAATAATTGAATAAAAGCTTAGAACAAACTGAAGGCACATCCAAGTACTTGAATTTATATGACTATGGATGGATTACAGAACTCCAGAAAAGAATACAACCCTCTAAGAATTATTAGCGCTTAAACCAAATTGAAAGGGTATAAAATCCCACTGGGCTAACTTCAGCCCAGCCCGCCAGTAGAGGAAAAGGCCCAGCGACCCCCTAACTCATCCACTCTCATTCAAGGTCTGTTCTGACTTAGAGTGAGGCCCAAGAAGATATCAAGCCCATTTGGGAAGGATAAAGCCCATGTCATCTCAAGGTCTAAAAAGAACAAAGGTATTTTTAGGGCAATGATAGACTTCTATAAATAGAAAGAGATGAAGAATGTAAAAGGAATCGATTGAAGTGTAACAAATTTACTTTCTTAACATAAAGAGCAGTTTCTTGCACACTCATCTAGTGCCGTCTGTGGGAAGTTCGACGAGTGATTTTTCCATCCAATTGATGACACAGCTACGTTCTGGTACAATGATCGGCGAAGGGAGCACGCAGCACCAAAACCTTGGCCGGAACGACCGACAAGAGGATCTCTGGCAATTGATCCAGAGCTTACATAAGGAGAATGCAGAGGTTGTGGAGATGTTGCGTCGAGAGAACGCGAAGCTCCGATCATAACTGGAGCGTGGATTGGAGCCCCACCTTCCACCACCGCTGCCGAATCAAGCAGCAGCGAACGAGATCGACCCTCAGAACGATCGCATTGGGTCCATCCACCATGACCGTGTTGGATCCATCCACCGTGACCGTGTTGGGTCTATCCACCACGATTCACATCTAAGGGAGCTTAACGGAAGACCGAGATATCAATCGGTCGATCAGGAGAGCACTAGCAAAATGATGGCTCAAAGATAATACACACACCAGACATTCGAAGAAATGTCAAGGTCAGATATCCGAACACAGGTTCAGCGAGAAGTCAACGTACGACTTAAGGATCTGAAGGCGGCCTCCACTGATATGGTTGACTCGCCTTTCACTAAGGAAGTATTGAAAACACCTAAGCTAAGGAAGTTCGTTATCCCACCCTTCGTGTCATTCGACGGCTCAACAGACCCAATGAACCACATTTACCATGTCCAGTTGAAGATAGCCTTGCATAATGATGATGATACTTTGATGTGCCGAGTGTTTCCAACGAGTTTGACTGGACCAGCTCTTAAGTGGTTCAAGTATTTGCTAAGGGAGTACATTGAAGGTTTTCGCCGATTATGTAAGGTGTTCATGATGCAGTATTTCGGCAATCAGCAGATCTAGAAAGTGTGTCCAGCCTGTTCACTATGAGGCAACACAAGGGAGATAGGTCATAGGCTTTTCTCACTAGGTTTAACCTTGAGCTGAGCCTGGTTGAAGGATGTGATCAATGAGCAACAGTTGAGGCTTTCAAGCCTGCTTTCATCCCTAGCACTCTATTCTACAGTGCATTGGTGCACAAGACGCCTAAGAGTATGGGAGACATGGGATAAAAAACACAAGGCTACATAAAAATGGAGAAAGAGGAAGCCATGCGAGTGCATTAGGCCACTATGGTCACTTTAGAGAGCCGTTCACGAGATAAGATCAAGGGGCAGAAGTTACCGATCCAGGTGCCGCCACAGGCTCCATGAAGGCTACCAAAGAGCCAAAGGGAAGACGAAGCCATCACATCACTCAAATCCTCATTAGCCAAACTTTATCAAGACAACAAGACCAAATTCACACCACCACAGCCAATAAGGCAGCCGATCGAGCAGAGGGACAAGTCCAAGCATTGTGCCTTTTATTACGACTTTGGTCATCAGACCAACGAATACAGAAATCTCAGTAGGTAGGTAGAGATGATGATAGCTAAGGGAGAATTCTCTAATTGTCTGTTGACTAAGGGATAATTCAATCCCACCCAAGCTCCAAGACCGAACACACAGGGCAGAGTGCATGATAAGGTGAACCCCCAAGAAGTCCAACTAGTGAGAGTCATCAACACCATCATGGGTGTCTGAGGCGGACGAAGAAACTTAAGAACTACTCCGAACACGCCTAAGGCAAGCACAGAAGCTGAGAAGAGTGAATAATGTCAGCATTGCGAGGCGAGTGGATCTGGACACGCAGATCAAGTTTGACGGATCCAACCTGCAGAGAGTAAAGACTCCACACAAGGATCCCCTCATCGTCAGCCTCATGGTAGCAGGTTATTTGGTGAAGCATGTTTTGATTGACTCTAGGAGCAGTGCGAACATAATCACTAAGTCTGCGTTCGAGCAACTACAGATTGACCCAATGAAGGTCAAACTTACTAGCAACCCCTTGATGGGGTTCGATGGGAAGAGAGTTGAGCTGATTAGGGTGATAGAATTGCTCATTTATGCAGCTCGGAGGAGTCTCAAAGAGTACTTTGTCATAGTGGATGTCTATCCCACATACAACCTTCTGATGGGAAGGGGGTAGATCCACTATATGCAAGGAGTACCATTTACCTAGCACCAAGTAATGCGATGCCTCAATCCAGATGGAAGCAACATGGTTGACATCCGAGGAGACCAGGTGGTGGCAATGGAGTGTTATGTGGTAACCATCAGGTCAGAGCACAAGGGGAAGGGCATAGCCTTAACCTAAAGTGACAAATAACGGTTAACGTCCCATCCGTTCGATCACGGTTAGTTGAGTAAGGAGGCGGAGGAACAACTTCTAACGGAGGAGCAATTATACAAGGTTCAATCGACCTATCCCACCCTAAAAGAGTGGTCAGGATCGGTTGCAGTCCAAGGAAGAGAAGGCCTAGATGACAAGTTTACTCAATACCAACTTGGACATTTTTGTATGAAGCCACTTGGACATGCCAGGTGTGCGTTCTGAAGTTGCATATCACAGCCTTAGTGTTGACCCAACCTTTTATCCAGTTTGCCAGAAGCAAAGGAGATTTGCCCTAGAAAGAAATCAAATCATAACCGAGTAGGTTGACTGCCTGTTAGGGGAAGGGTTCATAAGAGAGGTGTACTACCCACAATGGTTGTCCAACGTGGTGGTGATTCAAAAAAAGAATGGAAAATGGAAAGTGTGCATTGACTTCATTAATCTGAACAAAGCTTGTCCTAAAGACAGCTACCCCCTACCAAAGATAGACCAAATGGTGGATGCCACCACTGGGTTTAAACGACTGGCATTTTTGGATGCATACTCCGAATACAACCAGATCCCAATGGACCCTAAAGATGAAGAAAAGACCTCATTCATCACCGAGCAAGGAACTTACTGCTACAGAGTCATGCCGTTCAGATTGAAGAATGCTGGGGCAACCTACCAGCGTCTCATTAATAAGATTTTCAAGAGACAGATGGGCCAAATAGTGGAAGCCTACATCGATGACATGGTAGTGAAAAGTAAGCTGAAGAGTGATCACTTCTGTGACTTACGGGATGTGTTTGAAACTCTGAGAAAGCATAACATAAGGCTGAATCCCTTAAAGTGTTCATTTGGGGTTTCCTCCAGCCAATTCTTAGGCCACATAGTTAACAGCAAAGGCATTGAGGTCAGCCCGATCCAGGCTATAACACTTGTACAGAATGAAGTACCGAGGTCCTTCAAAGATGTGCAGGTTCTAACAGGGAGAATTACTGCTCTGAGTAAGTTCATATCTTGTCTCTTAGATAGGTGCAAGCCTTTCTTTGACGCTATCAGAACCAGAGGAAAATAAACTTGGGAAATCGAGCAACACGAGGCCTTAGCCAACCTGAAAGAGTACATGCGAAAGCCACCGATCCTCTCGGTTCTTATACAGGGTGAGACATTGTACCTGTATCTCGTCGTGTCAAAAGTAGCAACCAGCGCAACATTGATAAGGGAG